TGTTCATGGTCTATGGCAAAGACCAGATTTAGAATTATCAACTGGCACAAAGGCAGGAAATAGATACAAAGTCCACCTTTTTTACTTTCTAACACTGACTGCTTTGATGGGATTCAGAAAACACCCTCAAGCCTTTTAGAATACATTCATTTCACCATAAATCACAGAGACCACTCAGTTAAGCTTTTTGCAGGCTTGTTTCTGCCCTGCTACAGGTCGGAGGTGACTCAGAATTTGATGATTTGACTACACAGCTTAGATGGGAGATGGGGAAAAAGCAGAGGTGAACAAAAAGCAACAGGAGAGCTCCTTCAACTGCAGACAGGAAGAGTGTGGCCTCCTTTCAAAACCCTCACTTTGAAAATAGTGTTATTCCAAAGAGAAAAGCCACCCTGACGTCCAGGTCAGAACCAGAGCAGTTAAACAGTGACATACCTTAGCTGGCTTAAGTAGGCCAATTTTCACTTGGCACTCTGAAGTTTGAGTACTTTGGACAGCCTTGCCTGTATTTAGAGCAGGAGGATGTGTGTGTTCATGTGATGCAGAAAAAATCATATAAACCCAAAACTGAGCAGTGACTTTGGGAAAGTCATGTAATGAGCACCCACCTGCAGCCAAAAACTCTTCCACAAGATCCTCCTCCTAAATACAGCCACAATGTGAGTTCTCTGGCCTGAAAAACTTGAGCACCAGCTGCTGTGGGAACTTCTGATTTCACACCTCAGCCTTTTCTCCAACAGAATTTGCAAACACGGGAGCGCTGATCCGTGCTAAATGTAGTCACTGCATGAGACTTTCCAGCAACCAAGAGGGTAGTAAGGACTGACAACAGAGGCAACAAGTGAGGACTCTGAAAATAGAGTATTTGAGGGAATTGTGTACCCTCTGGTGCTGCAGTGCTGTGAACTACAGGTGTTCATGTGTTTGGGAGAGATGACAGTGCTTTTTCCATCAAAGAAACCCCTCAGAGGAAAGCAGATGCCTAAAGTCTGTCTCCAAAGGGAAGAGGTATCCCAGGGCCTGAACTCATCAGTTGAATCAATAGGATTTATAGCAAAACCAATCTGTTTTCTCCAAGTCAAGAATACACTTGGTAGTCTTAAATTCAAAAAGTAATTAACGTCAAGATACTAAATCAGGCAAAACTTTTCCTTTATTCCTGTAATGCTGTCATTATACAAATTGTATGTTTATTGTGCCATTACTCACCGTGTGTAAAAATATCATGTGTATGATGAAAATAGTATTTTTCTTGTTTTTAGACAGTCACAGTTAGTGAAAGTTGTCCCACAAGCTAAGAAGCTCCTTTTTTGCGAGGTCTTTTGCAATTAAATAAAAATCGGTCTTTTACAAACGACCATGGTGACCTCTCCTGGTAGAAAAATATATGACCTCTAATCATGAAAACAGATTAATCCTCAAAGGAGAAAGTACACCTGGTCCACTTTATTTTTTCGTTCCATATCCTGAAAGTTCTAGATGCCATTTACAAACCAGAACAGGCACACAAACTACTAGATCATCAAGAAAACATTACAGCCTCTTGCTGTAGAGGCAAAAGCCTTTTCAAGAGATTTTGGCAAATTTTAAAAACACTTTTTCAACAGAATAATCATAGAACCAGATAAAATTATAACTGTATTGTTAGAAAATTAGAACTTCAGACAAAATGGGAGGATAAAATTACCTAAACCTGGGGCAACTGGAATGAAACTCATCTGTAACTCCAGATCATCTTGAGTGTTGCAAACACTTCATTCACAGCTGTGCCTTGTTCCACTTGTTTCCCCACACACTGTACAAGAACTTTTTCATGCATCAGATCCTAAGCACTGCTGGATAGACCTGTGAGAAATCTTCCACTGGTACAGATACAGGCCCAAGCAAGGCTGAGGAAGCTACAGATTCATTTCCATACCACACTACAGGCACAATCTGAACAAGACCCAATGCAATGTACATGCATTTAAGCTTTGTACATTGTTAAATAGCATGCACACTGTCATTGTGATCCATTTTTAACAGTATTGGAAACTCCAGGCTCCTCTCTGCAAGTATAAAAGATTCAGAAAAGCAATGTTTTTCATTACCCATTCTGTTGGCATTTACCAATACAAGTCATTGTGCCAGTGCCACTGTCACTCCCCTCAAATGCTGGCTACTAAATATTCAGTGAAGGGAAAGAAACTCAGTCGGGAATTAACAAAGCTAATACAATGTTTATATATGAAAAAATTAAATTAGAATATGTCAGACAGAGGTGGGAAGAACTCTCCTAAGAGTGACAGGGAATACACCAAATACTTGGTAGCATGAGAACAAAACCATCCTTCAAACGACAACATTTTGAGTTCAAGATAAGCAATTTCACCAGTCCTGCTATCATGGAAGTAAACTGGTTTTACCACATTGAGGATCATATGGACATTTACATGTTGTCTTCTCTTTGTAAGTTCAAGAAATAGATGTTTCCTTTGAGCCCAAGCAAGAGCATCAAATAAAACAATTATGGAAGATGGGAGACCTAATAGGCTGTACCTGAAACTGTGGCTATGCAATGTTTTCAGTCATCTCAAAGACAAGAGATTGGCCTTCACACTGAAACACAGGGCTAAAAGTCACATTTGTCAGAGACTTGAGAACATATGCTTAGGGAATGGGAGGAAGAGAGCAAACATTTGGGGCTTTCTTTACTCTTAGTTACAGCAACTGCTTCTTCAGACCCCTTTTTCCATTCTAGCTACAAACACTGATATTTTCTCCTTGGTATATTCACAGTGCTTGTCTGAATCGGCTTCACACCTGACAAGAAATTCTCTTAGACCATCCAGATGTCCTAAGAACATTAACATAATTATGTCTTTGAAGCACAAGGCTCTGGTGTCTTAGGACACATCTATAGCTACATCTGTTACCAATGTCTCATCTCTACTCCAGTGATTCATATTATCCAAAATGGTACTTGGCACTCCATCCCTCCCTTCCTAAGAAAATATAAAAACATTTCCATGTCGTCAAGTACCAAATACTATCCCTCTTGTCAGGCCTTAGCAACTTTCAACAGGACATTTTTGAAATTGATCCTTCCAAGTGTCCATCTATCCGAATACAATGAAAAGCAGTTTTCTCGCAAGTGGGAAAATATCACAAGCATCACATGTCAGTATTTATTTGCTGCTGAGGGCTATACCAAGAATTATAGGACCCTTCACTCAGGAGAGAAACAAACCAATTTCATTTTGAACTTGATCCAGTAGATGCTTTGGCCCAGTTTTAATTCTCACCACACTGGCAGTATCCTCTGTTCCCAGTTTCAAGAGAGCAGGCAGAATGCACAGGCACAGGTTTCCATATTTTGGAGAGATAAAACTCTGGTTTCATGAACAGTCAGCTGTGGTATGAAGTAGATCAGAGTAAAGAGAACAGCAATCTCCACACTTCTGTGGGGTGAACACTTTTATAGCTGAAATGGGAGACCCAGTTGGAAATTCCTTCATGTAAAGGTGGGAAGATCTGCTCCAAGCAGGAGTCCTACCATTTAACTCCTGGCAACAAGAAGTCTGCCAACTCTGTGAAAAAGAACTGATTTAATTGGCTGTAAAAACAATCTTTTGTAATTGAAGTTAATCTATTTCAGACCAAACCAAGTTTTAAGACAAATGTGTGCTAGGCAAGTGACTCTACAGTAGCCAGCAGAACAGCTACCCTCAGTACAAGCCATTTCTAGGAAGGAAACTAAGGCAACAGCAGGAGGAAAAGCTCCAGAGAGGCATCCTCCAGGGTAAGGCTGAGACAGAAGGAGGCCAAGAATTTGTTTCATTGACTGTGCATGATTCATTTGTTAGATGATAACATCACCTAAAAATAGCTGGCAGTGCTATGTGGGCACTCTGAGAGCACACATCTGTCTCCATCTCGTTACTCTTTGTCCAGCAATGTGTCTGCACATGCACATTCCATGTGCACAGAAACAATCGGCTGAGCCAGGATCGCTGCTCCCAGCCTGCCTGTGCTGCCCTGCAATCCCCACATCTCAGGGGGCACGAGAGGACCACACATCATTGGCAGAACACTGCACTTTGCTTGGCACTGAACTGTGGCTTGAAGGCCAAGTAACATTTGTTACGGGATTAACTTTAATCAAGATCTCAGAATAACTCTGGGATCTAATGATGGGTCAGTCAACTGCATGCAAAAGCTGCACATGCTAATGTAGCCACAGGAAAACAAAGAAGTAACTGATTTTTATTTTCAAACCAGAGGGAAAACCAAATTCTATCACATTAAAAGTCACCATTTAGCAAAAGGAAACTACAAGAAGAATACTGTGATCATCACACACTGAGATCAGAGGCTAAAATGCAGATATTGCAAGGAGCTGGTTTGAAAGTCATTTACTCCATTTTCATGAAGGATGTTTAATCTCCATTTTTCACTCCCTAAAGGTGAATAGAGACGGGGGAGAACAGAGAAGGGACATTGTCTAGTGTCCTCATGCAAGTTATTTGTACTTTTGATTCCCACCAAGCAAGCACCAACTTCAAATCCAAATCACTGGTGTGATAGGATAGCAGTGGATAGGAGCTCTTCCTTCCTATTCTGTAGAGTAGCAAAACAGGCTGACAGAAATCACCCAACTCTGAAAAGCAACATTCTTGGCCAACTTTTTACCATAACACTTAGAAAATACACATTTGAAAAATTAATTCCTAGAGAATATCCTGTTCCATGCTGCCTAAGACTGATGAACATCAGCTGTCCACTATAAGAGATACACTTTGGGAAAAGCAAGTTCTTAAAAACAAGCAAGTGTCCTCATAGTTCAACAATCTAGAAAATAATCATCCCCATTAAACTGTTACCCTTCTTAATGAAAGCAATTTTAAATGTCCTGGTAGCATGCTTTACATGAGGATTTTTAACAGTTATCTCCCTTGGTCACCAAAAGCAATTCAGGTTTAGTCAAGCTGATCAGCCCTTCCCCAGAAAAGTTCACTTACCATCCAGAAAAGGGTTCCAATGGCAAATTCGGAATAGTGTTCTATAGTAGACAGTACACTGAATATTAAGCAAATCAGCACCAGGAGAAATCTGTAAAAAGAAAACACTGCTTAGTGACATGTCAAGTTGAACTGTAAATCTAGATCTAGTTTTATTCTCTCTCTCATTCACATAACTTTTTAATCACAAATACTTGGTGTTAAATCAGTCGATTCTTCCTACTCAAATGAGCATCATCATTTTGCATTCATTCAGCTTTCAGAAACATGGAATAAAAATGACAAGAAGGCTGAACAGTAAATCAATAGGCAAATCTCACATTATCAAGTCTATTTCTCAGGGAAGGTTGTCATAGTGAATGTTTCATGTTTCACTGATTGCTGAACAGCTTAACAAAGACACAAACGACACTCAGTGGGTTTTGGTAGCTTTTACATAAAAATTACAGGTGGAAAAGCTTATCAGCAAGAGCAAAAACTCGTACAAACAAGAGACCAGTGACAAGATGAATTCCTTTGGAGTTTTTCCATGATCTCGCCCCAGTGGACATTTTTATGAGTATTCCAGAAGAAGAGATGAAATGCACCTTATCAAGTCCACAGCTGACACAAGCCCAGGAGTTTGGTCACTAAGCTTGAGGGCAGAGCCCCTGGTTAGTGGTGCCTGCACAGGCTACAGAACAGACATACAGGAATCTCATAAAACTTGACAGGAACAAACCTCAAGTCCTACACAAAGTGTGGGGAAGAATAAAACATGTCCCCCTGACCTCCCTTTCCCAGGCTCAATTTGTGTCCCTAATTCCCAGCTCCTGCCTCCTTCCCTCACACACACCCAAGGAGCAACTACAGACTACAACACTTTGTCTCTGCCCTTCCTCCCTCCTCCTCCTCCTCACACTGCTCCACCTGCTCCACTGTGAGCCCTTCCATGAGCTGCAGTCCTTCAGGATAAACCTTCCCCAGGGGCTGAAGGGAATTTCTGGTCTGGAACCTGCAGCACCTCATCCCCTTTCTCCTGCTTCTCTCACCTCCATGCTCAGAGGTTGTTTCTCCCTTTTGCTTTTCCCTCTCTTCTCACAGCCCACTCTGGCTTTTGGCTTTTCCCCAGGAGCCTTACCATCTAAAGCTGGGGGCTCAGCAGTACATGTACACACACAGATATAAAGGAGCACACAATACACAATCCCAGAATCATTGAGCTTGGAAAAGGCCTCAAAGATCATCGAGTCAAAACATGAACCCAAAAATTCCAGGTCCGCCACGAAACCCTAAGTGCTCCATCTACACATTTTCAAATACTGCCAAGGATGGTGATTCCACCACTTCTCTGGGCAGCCTGTTCCACTTATTTACTCACAGATGCACTCCACATATATCTATATATAAATATATATATGTGTAAAGATAGATAGATAGATAGATAGACAGACAGACAGACAGATAGATAGATAGATAGATAGATCTAGAGAGACAAAGTTCTCACAGCACAGATATAGGATAGAAAATAACTACTGCAAAGAACTACCTGGATATGGAAAATCCCCAAAACATGTTTGCCTCAGATGGAGGGTAGGCTGAGCCAACATTCTTTATGCAGCACATTTAAAGCATGACTAGAACCAGGGAAAATGGGACAGTGGAGCTCTTCAGCTCTCCTTTTTCTCTTTTTGGAGTGCCTCAGAGTTTTAGACTGCCTTGGGATCCCCCAGGAACACTGAAGAAGTGATAATGAACACTGGAAAAAATTCTTTGGTATGTTTGGTCTGATCATTCAGACACTGCAAGTTTGTGCTAACACAGGCAAGGAGAGACAGTTGTTTCTCAGCTGCCACATAGGCAACAGCCTAAAACTGGATTTGAAGTTATAAAAAACAAAAGGTCCTGATTCCTTGCATCTGGGTCTGGAATAACTCTGACACTATTTAACCATAAGTGGAGATTTGAGAAGATCAGGGCCACCATTAATAAACAGATTTCATAAGTAGCGTTTAGAGCTCTACATGTACAACCGTCTCTGAATCAAGTTTGCATTTCTTCAATATTTACCTATCCTGATCCACAATATAAGGGCAAAGGGATCCAGATAACACATCTTAGTCAAGGGTAATAGCACCTTTAGCTCGGGACAGGACAGATCTTACCCACGCTGTCATGATTTATGAGTTCCACAACCCTTCACTCAGTCCTGCTACTCCTTTTGCTTCAACATGCACAAATTGCCAAATGCATTATTCACCAGTTTTTCTCCCATTCCCAAAAGTTTATCTCTGAAAACAATGCTGTGTTACGGGGAGTACAGAGTATCTGTCCAAGGCATAATAAAACCGATTTATTGCTTCAATGAGCTGCTGCACTGCCCAGGAGATAAAGCAGCAGAGGTGACAGAACCCAGCATTCCTGGAGAGTGATGCTCCAAAAAGAAATTCAGAGCACAGCCTCGAGGACAGATACTGAAACACAAGCCAGCCCTCGGCAAATGGAAAAGAACAAGTTGAAAAAGGGGTTCAAAGCATAAGGGTATTGCCAGTGTCCAACACTAGAAGAGTCGAGGCTTAGAAAACTGCAGAACCTTTGCCTTTTCTTAACACAGCAGCACTGCCTTCCATGTAAAGAATGTGCAGGTGTAAAAGTAAGGAAAGCAGGGTCATAAGAACCTCTTTTTCTTATGCATTTAATATGAGATCACTACTGAGTACTCCACTCCATTGTGTGTGCTCCACCAGGGAGTTTCTTTATCCCAATACCTTTTCACTTCCAGTCAGCAACCCCAGTGATGGGTACATGAAGGAAGACACAAAAAGGTGAATAGACTTTTCCACACATCAGGACAGTGTTAAAGGCCCACAGAACTCTCCTGCAGCTCAGACAATCCTTCAGTTAATGGTCAAGGGAACATTTTAACTTGGCTTGTCCCTGAAACCAGCATATCAAACAACTCCAGCAGAGATGTTCAAAGAGTCAGGCACTTCCTCTGAGTACAGACTCTTAATTTCTTCCACATCCCTGCCATTTCAATTATATCCTTTCAAAATACCTTTGTGTTGTTTTACTGCACTTACTAGCAATACATAAAAATCCACGGAGAATTCACATTTTAAATATTTTCTATCAAGACCTTGAAGATGACAATGTACATTACACTTTTTCCACTCTAAGAGAAGCAAAGAGAAAAACCAATATTGTTACATATCCTGTACATATCATCACTACATCTTCAACCATATATCCTTTAAGGCTTCAGAAAAAGCAATTAAAAAGAAGTTTACCAAAAAATTGAGAAAAAAAATATAAAAAGAGACAACCTGTAGGTGCACGGGGACGTAAAAGGGAGGACAATTGGTGTCTGAGGGACCCCAAACTGCCAACACAGCCTGCAGGTCTTGTAACTTCGAGCTAATTGTTGTTTCTCTCCTGGTTTTATGTATTGGGATTCTCTTTTTTTTTGTTTTTCCATTTCCAAATCACACACCAAAACCATTCAAAGGACTTTAAATTCACTTAATTTATGGCACTATATCCTCTGGCCAGTGAGTGTCACTCCTTCCCAATGAATAGCAAGGGCAGCTCACATGAGCTGAGTACAGATTCAGATGCAGTGGGGACAAATATAAGCACAAATTAATGACTGAGAGAGGGCATCAAGAACAGCAGCCACCACAAAAGAACAAAACAAAACAAACCACACAAAACCCCCAATCAACCAACCAAATAAAAAGACCCCAAACATTAAAAGAACCCCAAAACAAAAAGCAAGCTCGTTCACCTAGCCAACCAATAAGACATGAACTTATAGTGAAGACGTTGTCCCAATAATCTCTAATCACAGCAAAGAGGCACAGAATCAATAGGTGTAAAAAAAAAAGACTGCAATTATTTGTGTGGACTTAGAGGCACATACTGCAGATCCTGTTCTGCACAGCTCAGCAGCAAATTATGGTGGTGGAGCAAATTATTGTTGTAAGGAGTTTGTCACTGGAGAAAGATGTGTTTCAGTAAACAAAAAAATTCTCTTTCTGAGTCCACCATGGCTGAAAGATACAGCCCTTAAGTGTCCTTGGTTGTAAAACCACTCATCTCAATGATTTTCCCCATTGATGTGATGAGAAGACCATACTTATTTTCCAGCCAGGCAATTTATGTGGAGAGAAAAAGTGTTAAAAGACACTAAAAGTGCTAATAGTCACTCAGACAATTGTGCATCAAGGCCCTGTGGACACAGATCTCAGCATGTCCCAGATTGTCAGGATTTGATCTGGCCAGATTAAAGTGAGTGCCTGTAGGCTGCCTCATCTTGGAGCAACACATCCCCAGGGAGCAGCTCAGGAGATCTCCAGTACAAGAGCTATGCAATCTTGTCAGATGTTAAACAGGATTATCTCCATTTTATTCTTTCCATGAATAATAGGAAGTGAAAATTGTTCAGCTAGCACATAAAGCATTACCTAATACTTAGAAGATCCAGAACACAGAAACAAATATGCTTTTCTAGTGTGTATAGGTGCAGTAAAAAGCTGTCTGTTCAGTACTACAAACCAACCAACACTCTCAGTTCTACTGCTCAGAAATCCACTCAATGTGATTATCTTCTGCTGGCTTCCTCCAGGCTCTCTCTGAGTCTTTACTTTTTTTAGTCTTTTTTGAGTGCACAGAAGATGGTGCACAAGGTGCTTTGAACCAAGGCTTTCCCAATACCAAGAGTTCCTTTACTGATATCAACTCCCAAAAATGCTGGAAACTTCCCATACTACTGGTGCTTTACGTTTCAAACAAGTCTTCCTTTTCCTACATAATCCCAAACATACATGAGACACACTAACAACCCTGCTGTGGGCAGGCTGTCATCTCCATGGGGACACAGCAACCTGCTGAAGCAAGAGGGAATGGAAGAACATAATTACTATCCTGCACAACCAACATGGAAGTAGATCTGGCTATCCTTCACTGGAATTACTGAGAAACTGAATTTGAGACAGATGAGGAACAGTTTCTGGCATTCTCAGCCAGAGTCAGATAGACTTAAGAAGGTAATAAAAACAGGAGTGTGTCAAGGTAGATACAAAACCAAATACAAGCTGGTTCTTGGCCAGG